TGTTGTGTAAGTCCTAAAAATTGAGTTATGTAAACCCTGGGTCATGGGTATCTCTAGAGTCCAGTCACATTCAGATCAGAATTATAGCCAACTAATTTCAAAGTATCCAAGGGTAATTGTAAATAATGTTATCGTATCCTTGTGTTGTCTTGAGATCAAAAGACAAAAATTAGCTTGAGGTTATTTCTCCCTTATGGCCTCCAGTTCCAAGGGACTGAGAAAGGAGAGGCCCTGCACAAAGTTGTTGCTGCAGACACAATTTCCCCTCCACTTTTAATCTCTTGCAATTTTTACTTATTTATGATTTAGCACAAATATATCAGGGAAGCCTATCAAGAGTCTTACCTAAAACCCATCCATAATACGGAGCAGACATTAAGAAAGAATTGCATTGACACATTTCAGCAATCAAATAAATTTGGACTGAAAAGTACCTATTTCCTTCCCCACACCACAGCCTGCCAGCCTAGAGTCTAGACTTATTGCTTTAAATGAGCTCTAAGGTCCATTTGTCAAAAAAAAAAAAGGTTCAACTACTCATGCAAGGGATGGGATAATGCAGTTAGCATAATCTGAACTTGGACCTTCAGGGATAATATGCCCAAGAGATTGGCATTCAACTCCTCAATGAAGTAGGAAGGAAGGAGGGCTGCTTGGTTCACCTGTTCATTCATACCTTCCCTACTCATCACATAAACAAGACTCTTGAATACCTATGTTCCAGGGTGTGCCTGAAGAAGCATGTGCTCACGCTAAAGTAGGAAGCAAATGTTGCAACATACCCATATTATGAACGTAAAGCGCTCCACTTCTTTTTTTGCAGACAAAATTTATTCCACCTTATTTCAACCCTGGCAATATATCATGACCTTCTCGAATGGGTCTTCTCCTGGCTGGCCTGATTGTGGGACATCAAGTTAAACCTTGACCACCAAACTCACAAGAATATCAATATTTGATATTGATATTGTTGTTCTTCTTTGCTTCCTCTTTTAAGGCTTTCGGTGATGGGGGAATCAATAAGTTACAAGCAAAAAAAAAAAAAAAAAAACTAGAGAAAGATGAAAAGTAATTGAGAAGAGGCAGACTTGCTTCCTGGACTTCAGAAGGCCAGATTTTGATGAACTCAAAAGGAAGGAGGTTCAGGCAAGGGTGGGCTGCTGGGGGTTTGCAGGGGTTCGGGAGAACCTCTAGCTAAGATTCTGTGCAGCTCAGAGAACACTCAAGTCCCACNATTCGGGTGGGGTTGAGGTCTTTAGCCCCAGGCCTGTCGGGACAGCCAGTGCACATCTGTTTCGCATGCAAAGTGAACAGATAGTAAAACTAGGAGCAACCCACTCTGGCCCTCAGATATTGTTGAACTTTGAATCCAAACTATTGGCAATGCTTTCTGGAATCACTAAGATTTATGGTTTAGCACAATGTTTCTCAACCTTGGCAACTTGAAGATGTCTGGACTCCAACTCCCGGAATTCCCCAGCCAGCGAATTCCCCAGTTGAAGTCCAGACATCTTCAAGTTGCCAAGGTGGAGAAACACTGGTTTAACAAGTATCAAATTACTACAAATTCCCCATCACTTAAGAAAAGATTGGACAACCATTTGTCTGAAATGACATAGTTTCCTGCCTGAGCAGGGGGTTGGACTAGAAGACCTCCAAAGTCCCTTCCAAGTCTGTTATTCTGGTACTTCTTTAGAGATCACTCTCACTGGGTATTTAAAAAACCCAGCATTTTCCACTGAACTCTTCCAAGTCCTCCATGAATGAATAGGGAGATAGTGATTGATCTTTAGAGTCATAGCATACTTTCTTTCTGAGATGGCTTAAATAGAAGTGTTCTAGATTTTTTTCCACAGCTCTGTGCGGCAGATTAGGCTGAAAAAGAATGATTGGTCCACAAACACTTACTGAATTGGTCTAATAGGAACATGAACCTAAACCTAACATTTTAACCAATACATTACACTGTGTCTCTGTCCTAAAATGTACAAATGATAAGAGTAAAGGGAAACTAAATTTCAGGTGGAACTACACATTCCACAAAATTGTGCTCCCTTTTTATCAGTTAAACCAGAGGTGGTATTCACCAGGTTCTGACCAGTTTTGGAGAACTGGTAGCAGAAATTTTGAGTAGTTTGGAGAACCAGTAAATACCACCTCTGTCTGGCCCAACCCCCCATCTATTCTCTGCCTCCCAAGTCCCAGCTGATCGGGAGGGAATGGGGATTTTGTAATAACCTTCCCCTGGAGTGGGGAGGGAATGGAGATTTTACAGTATCCTTCCCTTGCCACGCCCACCAAGCCACACTACCCCCACCAAGCCACGCCCACAATACCAGTAGTAAAAAAAATTGAATCCCACCACTTAAACCATTGTCTAAACTAGCAACTTGTTTGTTAAGAGGCAAATCAAGTCTTACTTTCCAACCACTTGCCCACCGAAAACCACATTTATTGCTTAGTCCTCTTTATCTACAAGGTTTATTAGGAGATTTAGGAGCAAAGAAAAGGAGAAAGATATACTAACCATACACATTAAATTGATAGTGGAAAGCAAGGGACAAAGACATATGGGCTGATCAGCACTTCCAGACTAAATGCATGTGTAAACATTAATTATGAGACAGGATGCGGAGTTCGGGTCAAAGAATAGTAAGCCAAAGGGATAGTCATTTACGTATTTTTCAGAGTATAAGATGCACCTTTTTCCCTCAAAAAAGAGGCTGAAAATCTGGGTGCGTCTTATACACTGAATACAGCATTTTTTTTGCCTCCTGAAACCNATCTTTCACAGAGGCACTGAGTTTTATAAATATGAGCATGATAGTGTAGAATAATCATATCCAAGGACCAGTGGTGGGTTTCAAAAAATTTTGGAACCTATTCTGTAGGTGTGGCCTGCTTTCCGGGCCCACTGGTGGAACCTCTTCTAACCGGTTCGGTAGATTTGACGAACCGGTTCTACTGAATAGGTGCGAACTGGTAGGAACCCACCTCTGATAAGCACCGATCTTTGTTCTTGAATTTATATTTTCTAGGCCAGGGGTGTCATACTCAAGGCGCGAGCCACATCCAGCCCATTATGTGGTTGGATCTGGCCCACATAGGGTCTACCCTATGTGAAGTGGAAATATTGGGGCATGGGTTTGGCCCAGTCTACCCAATGCAAAGAGGAAAGATCAGGCCAGTGTGGCTTCAGCCCAGTCTATCCAGTGCGAAGCGGAAACATGCCAGCAGTTTGGGGAGTGGTGTTAAGCTGGCCACACCCACCCACGTCAACCACAGCCCTGATGCGGCCGTCAATGTTTGGCAATGATGTTTTAGACCTTAGATGATGGAGGGAGCGAGTGAATAATGTGTATTTTATTGTATGATGGCCACAGATGACAGCATCTGATCTTTACATTAAGGTAAGTAGGATAATGTAGGCTAACAAGGATTGGACATGAATAGAATTAGATGGGAGAGCATGAAGAATACCCAGAGCTGTTAATTAGACTAAGGAAAAATTTAAAATCCCAGAAAAAAAACTAGCGACAAATAATATCTATAATGCAGAAGAGAATTCTCTGTGTATTAATTTATGTTGAGGCAAAATAGAGAGGAGAGCAGCATGGTAGGAAATCTCTTTCTTTTTCATCTTGTTCCTACCACTACTTCTGGACTGAAAAGGAGGGGGAAGTTTGAGCATGGTAGACAATTCTAGTAGTCTTGGGATGCAGGGATCTCTTGGCTTTTTATAATTAAAAAAAATGTGTGAGAAATAAACCTAAAGAGTTTAGGAAGGTAGCATCTCCATATGGGTCAGCTTTTCTGTGCTCAATTCTGGGCTGCACTTGCAAACCAGTGGTGGGATTCAAAAATTTTTACTACTGGTTCTGTGGGTGTGGATTGGTAGGCATGGCATGGCATGGCTTAGTGGGCGTGACAGGGGAAGGTTATTTCAAAATCCCCATTCCCTCCCCACCCCACTAACCTGCTTTCCAGATCCGTTCTCCTGTTTAGGGCAACAAAAGAAGATCAGCTGGAAGGCTGGGAGGCAGTGGGGGCGGGGCCAGCCTATTTGCTGGTTCTCTGGACTACTCAAAATTTCCACTATCAGTTCTCCAGAACCTGTCAGAACTGGCTGAATACCACATCTGTTATAGGTATGGTCTAACGAAGGTAGGTGGAGGAGATTGTATCCTTAGCTTCCAAAAGTGTCTTTAGAGACTAGACTATTCTTGAATTACTGAGGACTGGTACTGCACAACTATTCTGCATGTGTTTCTTGGATTCTTTTCCAGATCCACTGTGTTATAATTTATTTATTCTGAGTTTGTTCATGTCTGGAATACCATATATCCAACTATTGATTAAAACATTCCAATCCTGTGAAATATAACAATATCCTTGGAGAGAGATATATAAGATGTGCACACAGCAGAGGTGGCATTCAGTAGGTTCTGACCAGTTCTGGAGAACTGGTAGCGGAAATTTTAAGTAGTTTGGAGAACTGGTAAATACCACATCTGATTGGTCCCGCCCCCATCTATTTTCTGCCTTCCGAATCCCAGCTGATTGGGAGGGAATGGGGATTTTGCAGTAATTTCCCCTGGAGTGAGGAGACGATGGAGATTTTACAGTATCCTTCCCTTGCCACACCCACAAAGCCACGCCATGTCCACAGAACTGGTAGTAAAAAAAAATTTTGAATCCCACCTCTGGCACACAGGCACATAGAGATGAGACTCACATTACATTAAGCCAATGTTTGCTTAATCATAGTTTACTGAATAAATCACAATTAATTCATAGAACACACTAAGCCTTAAATTATTACTTACAAATCTCAATGGGTTCATACAACATTCTAAGCAAAAAAAAAAAAAAAAAAAAGACATTATATATGAAGATGTGTGAATTCAGCCTTTGTGTGATGGAAACCTATAAACTCATAAAGTAACTTTGTTAAAGTCAGCAAAGCCTTTCTAAATATTCTATCCCAACACTTTGTACAGGAGAAACAGAACTGTCATTCTGCCTTTGATCTTCCTGGTTTGGTGAGGAGCACCTTAGACCTTTTCGTTGGAGGATCACAATCAACCAGCCTTACCCTAAAATATGGACTTCTGGTTCTAATGAAGTATCCAAAAGTACACGGTAAGATAATAATATTGGACTTGCCTATTTAAGCTTCATAGAGAAGCGTACTGTCCACAGTGAAAACAAAGGTAAACTCAGAAGGCTTGCTTTTGTGAGTTTGCACTGAGGGGTGGTTTTTTTTATTTTTGCTTTTTAAAATAAATATAGAAATAATAAAAATGCAAAGTTAAAAAAGAAATCAATGGTAAAAAAAAAAAGGAAGACAAAGAAAAACAGTGTAAAAACCTGAGGGTATAAACAGAATTATTGTTGTTCCTTCATTCGCCATTCAATTTTGAATAGTTCTGCAGCAAATGCAGGGAACATTTTGTCAGAATTTATTTAAACTTTGTAATCAATGATTAGTGATAGAAAATATTATACATTTTATATAATAGGAATCAAATAAGATTCCTATCAATGTATGTATTTCTGGCATACATTGTCTTACTTTTAACTGGATACATTGATGAAATGGGACTTGGAGATCAAAATCCTATTAAACAGGATTCAATACATACAGTACATTGATAAAAATGGTTTGAAAGCCAAGAAATGCCATGGCATTTTATCTGTTAGATAAAGATTCCACTGTTCGATTCCACTGCATCAGAATATTCTTAGGTGTTCTTAAGACGGAGAACTATGCAGATGTCTTTGCTCAGCTATGGAGGCAATTCTGCAGGGATGTTTGTGCTACAATCCACATTTTTCTATCCAGAGAAAATTCTTCAAGAAATTGATTCTGTGATTGGCCCATCCCAAACACCCTGCATGTCAGATCTTGATAAGATGCCCTACACGGATGCTGTAATCCATGAAATTCATCGGTGCATAGCTCTGGTGCCACTGAATGTGCCACATGCTGTGAACAAGGATATTTTCTTCAGGCAATATTTCATTCCCAAGGTGAGTCTAGCTGCCACATATAATCTGCAACTAGAGCTTTATACACATTTGCCATGTTCTCATTCCTTCTTAATTAGCAGGCACATTATAATTGTTAATTTGGCATAAAAATCCAATGTATGAGAATACACCCATTTGACTTAAATCGCAATTGCAGTAAATATATTTCAAATTTAGCTTTTGACTCGGCTTTACCTTTATTAAGGAATAAAAAATACTTTGGGCATGTCATTTAAAAGTCAGATTCATTGCTCAAAACAAATTCATGAATATATGTGTCCCGGGATAATGTTGTAGGATCCAATCTGGGTCAATCACCAAGACCAGAGATTTCATCCTCCAAGCTTTCAGACTCGTGTTGCAGCCCATCTTCAGGGAACTTCTCTGTAGTAGAGTGTGTGCTGTTCTGTGTGTGGTATTTATAGTGCCTCAGAGCCGAGGTGGCACAGTGGTTAGNAAAACTGCCCATTTTTTGCTCAATTTTGCCCCCCCCCCAGCCCTCAGGAGCACTCTATAAGTGTCCTAATGGCTTTTTTTTTTTTAACAAAAACAGGCCCATTTTCGCGAAAAACCGACAATTTTGGGGAGATTTGCAGAGTGCAAAAACTTTTTTTTATTTTGCCTCTTCAAAACCTTGGTGCGTCTTATAGTCCGAAAAATACGATAATTTCTTTTGATGAGACAGTCAAACTTTTTTAGAAGGCAAAGGAGGTACTTGCTGTGGGTTCCTTGCATGGAGATGGTCACTGAAATCTAATTCTCTTTTTGATATGTTCAGGTAGATGTTTTATTAAAGGTAAAAAGGTTTCCCCCTATCCAGTCATGTCCGACTTTAGGGGGCAATGCCCTCACTGTTTCCTAACTAAGGAAGGCAGCATTGTCCAAAGATGCTTCGATGGTCATGTGACCAGCATAACTAAATTCCAAAGTTCACAGAACATTGATACCTTCCCACTAAAGTGGTATCTTTTTATCTTGATGGCGCAATGGTTGGGATGCAGAACTGCAGGCTACTTCTGCTGACTGCCAGCTGCCAGCAGTTTGAATCTCACCAGCTCAAGGTTGACTCAGCCTTCCATCCTTCTGAGGTGGGTAAAATGAGGACCCAGATTATTGGGGGCAATATACTGACTCTGTAAACTGCTTGGAGAGGGCTGTAAAAGCACTGTGAAGCAGTATATAAGTCTAAGTGCTATTGCTACTCGCATCTGTATGCTTTCAAATTGTTAGATGGGCAGGAGTTGAGGCAAATGACGGGAGCTCACCCTACAATGCAGCAGTTGGGTTTTGAACTGCCTACCTCCGAAGCCCATCATTTTAACCGCTAAGCCCCCATTTCCCCTTCATTCAAGGCAGCAAAGCTATTCAGCTACAGCAGTGTTTTTCAAGCCCAGAATTAAAGTTAGCGGATTTGTAAAACCCTGAATTAAAATACATCAGCAAACATCATTTTAAGTCTTCCCCCTGCCCTCATCATTACTTGGATATTGATTTCAATGTATACCAGTAAAAAGAAATGGTGAAAAGTTACATTAAAGGTAAAGGTTTCCCTCACACATACGTGCTAGTCGTTCCCGACTCTAGAGGGCGGTGCTCATCTCCGTTTCAAAGCTGAAGAGCCAGCGCTGTCCGAAGACGTCTCTGTGGTCATGTGGCTGGCATGACTAAACACTGAAGGTGCACGGAATGCTGTTATCTTCCCTCCAAAGGTGATTCCTATTTTTCCTATTTCCTATTTACATGCTTTCGAACTGCTGGGTTGGCAGAAGCTGGAACAGGTAACGGGAGCTCACTCTGTTAGGCAGCCCTAGGGATTCGAACTGCCAAACTGCTGACCTTTCTGATCGACAAGCTCAGCGTCTTCGCAATTTCGCAATTTAATGGGTTTATATGCCGCCCAATCCCGGGGGACTCTGGGCGGCTTACAAATACGAAATGAAATAAAATAACACATAGGGGAAAGAATACAAACAATTAAAAAAAAACCACAACATACATTTGGTTTAACTGGGGGTTTGACCTGATTTAAAAATCAGCAACCCCAGGCCTGTCGGAACAACTAGGTTTTGATGGCTTTTTGGAAGGCCACGAGGGTTGGAAGGGTCC